CCATTGACATTTTCCTATATCTTCTCCAGCTGAATGGCTATTTGTGGAATATTATTTGTTGAGCCGTTCTTTTGATTTAAAATGACATGCGACGTTTTTCATTTTGTGAGTGGCTTTGTCCATTCTGCCTGGAGTTTTCTATTACTTCAGGTGCTCATTTTCAGTGCTCATCTTGAAGTACCGTATTTTAATTACACTTAATGTAATTATGCAAAATAGAATCAGCATGATTACATACATGTGCACTTATTTATGAAACATTTTTAATCCAATCACCTACCACACCCCTGCAGGATCCTACCTCTTAAAAATATCCTTAGAAGACTGAATATAAAAGGCAGCATTGAGAAAATAACATTTTTTCAATGCTGGTGAAAGAGAGTCCTATCTATCTCTATGAGGAATGTGCTGGTATCAGAGGAAAAAAGCTTGCTCAGACATCCTTTTTTAATCATTTCCTGTGTTTTCATGCTCCCACTGTTATTAATCTCCATTGCACTCCCAGGACAGAGGCAAAAGACAATGTTAATAACATAAATGTACAAGGACACAGACATGCATAAAATATCACACTGGCAACTCAGTTGAGATGTTTAAAATAGTCCAAGGTATTTCTCTTGGTTTTGACAGCTAAGACTGAAAAAATAAAAATAATTTTTAACACAAATCATAACCTTTCCTCTGCCACCTGCAACCAAACAAGTGTATGCACAGCCATTTTTGTTTGACTGTCACAATTGCAACTATCTTGATTATCTATCAGGTGTCCTCTTTCAGTCCCTGGGAATCAAAATCTAATGGTTATGTGTCAACTGAGCTCCACCTCAAAGTAAAACTGAACAACCTTAAATCAGTTACTCTCAAGTTTGTTCCTATCAAATTGATTTACACATATTATCGGATCTTCCCCACATTGCTGTTAAATTGCCCCATGATTTCACATCTACACATGCAGATCAGTACACAAGTCAGTTCTAAATGGCTCACACTGTTTTTTAAATAAATTATCCTGCTAGATTAGCAGAGTAATGGCCACGGCGCAATGAATAATGAAACACTATCAAAGATTAGCAAAATATTCTCTAATATCAGACTTTTATTACTGCAAACTTACTATTACCCTTGATTGCAATCACAGCTCAAGTCCTCTTTTCTGAATCAGCAAAGTAATCAATTCCCTGGAAAACATTTATAGCTGATTTTAAAAGTTTTAAAGAATGAGTCAATATACATCAGTGCCAAATAACCAAACTGAAAAAGTTTTAGGATAAATGTTTATAAAACAAATAAGTTGTTGGATTAAAAATTGCCATTTCATATCACGTTTAGGGGATATTGAACCAAACATAATCCTCTCATATGGAATAAATGACATGTACATTAAAGATACGTTTTTATATATTTATATAAATAGTTATTGCGTGAGCAATATTTCACTGAAATCTAAATGCATAGACCTGACACTCAGCAACAAGTAAAGTGCATTTTACCTATTTTAGCCAGTGAAATGTCTGACAGGCTTTTAAATTTGCTCAGAATATTAAACCTGTGATCTACAGGGAGGCACAAGTAACAGCAACAAGCTGTTCGGTTTGGTCTGACTGATCGCCAGCTTCCTGCATGCAGGTAATGCAGACATTGAGACCTCTGGATGGGGGGGTCTACCAGTATTAAGTGCCTCTGGACAGCAGCACACATGACGTCATGGCAGAAAGAAACACAGCTGACTGGAAGCTCAGGAAATTCAGAAATGCATCTAACACAGGGAAAACATTACAGAGAGCCATATTAGTCAGCCATATTATAGGAACAATATACAGTCATATTAAATATGATATATTTGATTGCATTCAATTGTTAAAAGACATTTTTGAATGGGATGGGGGGGGAGCCATGAGGGCTTGCCCTGCTTAGTTTTTTCACTTTAGGCTGAAACAAAATAATTACAACCACAATTGTCCTTGGATTGTGAGCAATAAGGCTAATGAATCTGATGAGTAAGATTCTTTAAAAATACGTCCTGTAGTGTTAAAGTTTGTTATATATCACATTAGAAATAACCAGTACTTTTAATTTTAAATAAAATATTAATGTCAAGTAGTAATAAATTGAAACCCAAGTTATAGTCCTAAAAGAGCTGTTAAGAGTTAATAAGTTGACAAGCAATCTAGTTGAGTGCTTTTTAATTAGTAACACCTTTGCAATAACATAAAACACCAGACATGTGTGTTTAGTGTCTCTTTGTGAGCCAAGGACTACAATTGCAATTAATATCAAAATGGCAAGAACAGAACTGAATGAGTCAGTCAAAAAAATATGACAATAAAAAGAAAATTTCTGCACAGAAAATATTTGCAGAAATGTTAAACATTGCTTCTCAATTGACTTTTAATATGAAACAAATAAATTTGCAATATTTTAACAAGCTTCTCAAGACTTTGTGTGAGCATTATATACACACCCACAGTAAAGATGTTTTCCAGAGTATAAAGTGTAGGATGTGAGGAAAGTTCACCACATTGTGCTGTTTAGATATGCAAGGCAGGAAGATTTGGTCTCTTTTATGAAGGAAATCAAAAATTTGGTTTTCTTCCTCCAGAGGTCTGTGTGGAATCTCCTGGGGCGACAGTTGTTATAGAATTGTGGTGACCAATCAACAGTTTTATCTATCAGCTTTAAACTGGCCAATAATATGTCACAATTCAAAAGTCAGAGAATAAAATCTCCTCCTTCTCTTTATTGGCAATCAAAAATAAATACATCACAAAAATTGGATTTCTTTCTTTTTCAATTTTATGGCAGAACAAAAATAATGGGAAAAAAACAATTTTTCTAACCTTTAAAGCCAAAGTGTATCATTTTTATTCAGTGAATAATCCAGTTTGCTGACAGATTGACATAAATATAGGAGAGAAAATGATTATTTCTGTCCAGTTTGATTGCTATAGAGTGACAGAGTGACCAAGTGAAAATCAGACGTCATCTTTGTAGAAAAAGAAGAAAATGTCCTTGTGTTTTATATTTATTTGTAAATCAATAGACTTACAACCTACCTCACTCTGAATCATCACTGCACTTTTCCATCATCACTAAATTGTCTTTCTTTACCTTGGAGGGTAATTCTTAGGTTTATTTTTATGATTTTTATTCTTGTATTTTATATCTTTATTTTTCATACTATTCACAACCACGTCTACAGGGAAGCCGGTAACACAGGCCCCTGGATGGGGCTAATTGCGGTCTCACTTCACGCTGAAACAAAATAATTAGAGCCATAATTGTCCTTGGACTCTGAGCAGTAAGGCCAATGGATCTGGTTAGTCAGAATTAAGTTCTCTGCTGTAGTAGTGTTTCACTAACATTAATTTGATCGTCTTGAAATTTCTCTGCATTTTACGTAACCATCTCCATAATACAATTTAAAACTAGTGAAATTTATCGACACGCGTTTTCAATTCAGTTTGACTTGAAGAGCCTTTCAGGATCTAAAACCCAAATGTACAGAAAAGAGTAATGATTGAGCTTCAGACGCTCTGCCCAACTTTGCATTGCATTACAGTCAGGGGCAGAGTAACGGGCTATCCTGGGCTATGGCCTAGGGCAGGGTTATTCAACTCACGGTCCTCGAGGTCCGAGCACTGCTGGTTTCCCAGCCTTCCTTTACCTGTCAGTCAGGTGTGAAGCCTCTGACCAATCAGAATCAGTAATTATTAAACAACTACCTGGGAGAACTGAAAACACGACCTGGATTTGGAATCGAGGTCCAGAGTTGAAGAACCCTGGCCTAGGGTCTGTGCCCTTGTATAGATCACTCCCAAGTCGAACACACCCTGTTCCGCACCGTCATTAAATGCTGTTGGTAACCGTGTATTTGCAGAGACCCCTGAGACTTCCCTAATGGAATACTAGAGCAGCCCTGATAGGGATTACCAGCACAGTTTTCCACAGTACTGTATGTTATGTAGCTATCATCTGATGCTTCTACCATATTGCTCTCACCACACTCTCAATAACGCTGCCAAATGTGCATCCATGGCTGCTAATTCATTCAGTCATTTGATACCCCATTCACTTTTAATGTGCATCTGTTGTAAGACTAAATAACTGTCCTGCAGTTCTTTAATTTCACTTGTGGAATGTGCTTTCTGGAATAGGTACCATGCTGATCAAGCATTTACCAAATATATGGAAATTTATTGTTATGTTATGTCATCCATTATAAGTTATGTCAGCCATTATAAACACTTTTCATGTCAAAAATGTTCACTGCTGAAGTTGTGTTTATGGATTAGAGACAAATGCAATGGTTAATAAATCAGTGCATCAATCCAACCTTGAAAGATAAATGATAGCAGTTACCAATACACCTTTGTAACAATTAGCTGTTATTTAGTATGTGAAATTGGTGTTTGGTGGTACATAAAGGACTTTAACGGCGCAAGGATTACCAGATGTTTGAGACAATCAGCATTTTCATAGGGCAGAATGCACTTCATTCTTTTAAAGATTTCCAGCCTTCCCTTTATCCATCTGTCAGGTGTTTATTTGTTCTGGTTAATACCTCATAACCACAGATTTAATATAGCTCCCAAGAGACGACTCGTCATTGGAGCAAGGCCGCCTAACTCTGACAGAACAACTAGTACTGTAAGTGTCTGAAAACACTTTCAGATCTGTAGTTACTTTATGTCACTTTGGGTTTGCAAAAATGACTACATATTTATAAATAGCTACGCAAGTTCCCAAATGCGTTTTGCAGTCGAAGTAATGTGGGACAGTTTAATGAATCATATATGTGTGGCTGGGTGGGTTTGGATGCTGTGTCTGTGAGCAGAAGGTCGCTGGTTCGGATCCCAGGATAACCAGAGTGATTTCATGGTCGGGCCCCTGAGCGAGGCCCCTAATGGGCCCCTTTAGCTAAATAAATATAATGTAATCCAACCATTGGGACAAAACTATGGCTGACTTTATATTTTCCCGCAAAGACAGAAGTGAGACAATTACAAAAAGAATAATTTTATTCAAAGCAGTTGTGTCCCCATAATAGAAAAATAAGAATGATTTAAGTCAACAACGACAAATACACAGCCTGTGACATAGCTCCTCCTTGTATACAATCAGTACCATTTCTCTCTGAATACAGCAAAGGCACTGGCATTTACTGCAGTTTGTGGGTGTCTTCACAATGGCATGGCATGTGGTAATCTCCGAAGGCAGTCATTATCGTCACTGCGTTCTTGCTAATGACACCTCACATACAGTGAGCTCACTGCAGAGTACCTTACAGATACTGTCTGTGTTAGCCCTCCTCCCAATGGAACTGTTCCATTTGGGCCTCATAATGATCAGATTGCTCCATCAAGTGATGGGGGGGGGTGAGGGGGAAGGGTGGTAGCATTAATGCAAATCTTAAGTTGAAACAAAACAGATGGCCCAGAGCAACAGCGCAAGTCATCTCTAAGGTTAAATAGTCTTACAAAAGATTCCCCCAAAGCACAATAAAACATGAAATTAAATAATACCAAAAATTCTAAATCTTTTACCAACTTCCTTTGACTCTCCCTTGACTTGAATAGTGCAATAATTTATGATTAATATGGTTCTGACAGGCAGTAAGAGACATAATAATAATTATACAAACATAAGTGTAACTGGTTGGATACTGTAATAAATTATTTGGTAAAGCGACAGTAATATCATTGAGCAAACTGACTTAAAACCAGCCAGTTTCATTCATAACACATCACTGGGCAAGTGAAAGAATGCAACACAAGTACTTAAATACCTTTCTGGAAACTTCCCAAGCTCGTACCATTTATACACAGAGAATAAACAGACATTTCTTTTACCTCTGAGGGGAAAAATACAGGAATAAACAATTCATATATAATTTATAGTGTAAATTATAATTGTTACTGTGTGTAAATCATTTACGTACATAAAAATATTGCAATTAAAATAAATACAGTGTGCTAAGTGTTTTCCTCACCTAATTAACACGCAATACCATTTAATCCCCTTAAAAGATTCGTCCACATCATTTTTACACATTCAGGGGTCCAGACACTCATATCAAAAAAGAATATCTTTGTTTTCATTACTTAGCAGATGCTCTTATTAAAAGCAACCTAGTGTATAACTTTTATTCCATTTACACAGCTGTATATTTTATAATATATTTATGCTCAGAGGTACAACAGCTGTGTCCGCCTTGTGACCTTCTCCTGGCAAACGTTTGGTTAAGATCTCACGGTCAGAAACTGACACTCCCCGTTGACCTGAACTCCTACAGCAGCTGAGTCTCAGATATTCCTCTCAGCTGTGAGATATTTCAGAGCTGCGGCGCCGTACTTTCGGGACAGATCCTGGTGGAACTCCTCCTTGAGCACGCTCAGACAGAACCTGTAACTGGGGCTGGAGCGGAACTTGGAGATGTCAAAGCTGGGAGCGTGTGGCATGTGGATCATGAAGGCATTAGGTAGGACCACCAAGTCGTACTCCTGGAGATGAAAGGAGAGAGAGCTTCATTTCCCTGACTTTACGCTCAGCATGGTGCCCCGAATGCCACTGTGCTTGGGTCACTCAGCACTAAGTCCGTAAGCATCGTCCTGCCTACCTGGGCGTCCAGCTCCATGATGTGGGAGACTTTGTTCCAGCCAAACCCTACAAACCTCTGGTCGTACTCCGGACAGTCCCGCCGCACCACTACGTAGGGCTCGAAATCGGGCTCCCACTCCACCTTGTAGGGGGTGGTGGCCGTCCGCCACTTGGCGTAGTTGGTCGGTGCGTGGCCCTTGGTCCATACGTGGTACCTGACACGTGTATAGACACACAAAGAAGCACAGATGGCATATAAACATAATACTTCTCTCGACCAATCAGCATTACGTAATGTGATCACATGATTAGGTTTTACCTGAACGTGTAGAGGGTCCCCATGTCCAGCATGGAGAGGAGCTCAGCTTTGGATTTGGGGAAGGAGAGACGGTACCTCAGGGTCTCAAAGGCTGGTACCACCAGCGCCTTCTTGGTGTGAGCCAAGTCCAGCTGCAGGACGGACTTCCTGCGGGAAGATAAACCTCAACATTGTAATACATAGTGAAAACATTAGTAATAGACATCATAAAATAATGACGATTGCATTGTTAACTGAGCTCACAAGGAATTACGTGTCATTTAATAAATATTATATGCCATGGAATGTATGTTACTGAATGACAGCTCTTTGCAAAGTGTGAAAGAATTAACGTTTGAAAAAGATGCCAAAAACAAACATAATATATACAGTTCAAGAGTGAAAATGAAAACATGACAGTAACAGAATGAATGTGGCCACTCAACAGGCAACTGCTAATTGCACTTATTCACAATGCCAAAGTGTGAACTAAGAGCACTGAGTCATGTTACTGCTTGTACAAACAGAAGTCCATGAAAAGATGAGTCAAAACAAGTGCGTCTTAGGAAGTGATGCTCCTTATGGCCGTATGGCGCCTCTAACATCCATCCATTTTCCATAACCACGGACCCAGTACAGAGCCTTTGTGGGTATGGGGTCTATCACAGGATTCCAGTATTATATTATAACAAGTTTCCATAAAAATAAATTTCCTCTCAGGATGAAAAAATCAGTGATGAATTTAATCCACAAATACCCTCTATGCATTGTGCTGCTCACTTAAACGTTTTTACATTCACCCACTTCCTATCAGCATTGTGAAATGAACCATGATGTAAATGATTGCATATCATATCCTGCTCTCCTTTTTTAATGACATGGATCCATAGAGAGGAAAGAGAGCAAAGCTTGGAGTCAAAGCGCAGGGTCAGCTGCCCATCCGGCGGCCCTGGAGCATCTTTCTAGGGGTTAAGGACCTTGCTCAAGGGCCCGGTAGGAATGAGGCTACTCTGACAAGCACAGGATTCATACTGGTGACCTTCTGATCACAGGCACAGAGGCAAGTGATGATACAATGATAATAGAAGTTATGGAAACAAAAGAACTATGTAGCATATCATTGATGGTTTAATCATGGTTCTGCTGGCAGAGGTTACGCTGAGCAGCAGGATGCTTCCAGGTTAAAAATGTATAAAACAGCAGGACACAAGACCAAAGTGGAGCAGGAGACACTGGGAATGACCAGAAACCAGCCTGGTAGAGGGCAGAAGCAACTTTCTAATGGCAGAGATGGCCGTTAACTTATCCAACAATTCATCATGAATTGGAGTTATTCACAATGCCAAAGTGTGAACTAAGAGCACTGAGGATGACATCAAGTGACCTTCAGAAGGAATGGGAAACATTAAGTGCAGGTGTGAAATGCACTGCTAGGACAGTTCGTGTCAGGCTCCTAGAAGCAGGACTGAAGACCCATAAAGCAAGGAAGAAGCTCTTCATCAATGAGAAACAGAGAAGAACCAGGCTGCAGGTTGCAAAAATATATATATTTTTCACAGACGCCCACCTAAAAATTGAGAAATGGGTGAAACAAAAAATTGAGCTGTGGTCTCGTCATTTTTTCTAGAGCTGTATACAGCTTCAGCCCCAGTGTGTAACAATACATTTACTGGCGTCTTCCCATAGGTGCCATTACATGGTGTGCACCGAGTGTGGCTCACCTGAGGTAACTGTAGAGGCCGTACATGGGCAGGAAGTCGACGTCGGCCAGGAACACGTATGCGGTGCTGGCGTGCCTCAGGGCGACGTTGCGCAGCAGGTTGACGGGGTAGAACTGGCCCTCCTTGTAGACCACGTGGTAGCCCACGTTCCTGCGGTTCTTCAGCAGCTCCGAGGACTGGGCGTAGCGCAGGAACTGCTGGGCCTCGGCGTCGGACATGTAGAGGGCCAGGCTGATGGGGCCCTCCCAGTGCTTGCAGATGGCCTCCAGCATCTGCAGCCTGGGTATCAAGATCATTGTGTGCATCATTTTTGTCTATATTGACCAGACCTGGGAGACTCCAGAACATAAGAAATGGTTATTGCTGCCGTCTGAGGTCATACCATTTCCTTACATTCCATCATCTCCTTCTCCTTGAGAAACTCCCCTTTCTTGGAAACACTCATCTACCTGAGTAACTTGTAAAGAGGCTTTGGCATGCAGCACTGGCACAGTGAATCAATACTTTATTCATAAATCTCTTCTATTATTAACAAAACAGAGCTAATGCATCTGAAAGCTAATGGCCTGTTCACTTTGACATGCCTCGGATTTAAATCAGCTGCAGTGGGTCATATTAAGATATCCATCTACACTTTGTTTTATATTTCTAATTTGGAATTTAGTATTTATAGGGTTGTTGAGTGTCATGCACTGACTGTGAGACACACGAATTTCAACCAGTTCTCACGTTCACATGCCACACCTAGTGTTTCTCATGCTGAGGATAAGCGATAACGCCCACCAAGGTGTCCCGTTATACAGAATTAATGGACGATGCACAGGCGTACAGAGTGGAGTTTTCCGCCGAGTTCATAGCTGTCCCGATCGAGTTGGACAGAGTTAATATCCACCTACCAGCCAATCAGAAAATAGCATTTGTTGTTTCCAGGTGAATTTCTAAATAAGTTACGTGTTCCGCTGCAAGCACGTTATTGTATGGATGCGCACACAGATGGAGTGCAGGAAGGGTGGGATTAAGTGTAACAGCAATATCCAATGAATGCGGTCGGTGGCTCTGAAGTGTCACACACTGAGCATGAGACACACGTTTAGCCCCTAACAGATGTAATCTCACTCCAAACTTTTGGTGAAACTTGAGAGCCTTTGGTTTCAGGCCAAACTTTTATTTATTATACAGTATATATGTCTGACATATTTACATTTATCTGTATTTACCCACTGCTTTTGTCCAAAGCAACATATAAGCAAGGCAAATAGCACTTTGTAAACACATATGCTGTCAAGGAGTCAATTACGCATAAGTGCAGCTAGACTGAGCTTCCAATCAATGCCCAGTTACAAGCGTGAACATACTAAACAGATACACCAATGCAATGTCAAGGCAGCAGATAATACATTAGTCATCTACGTAAGCAGACACCCACACAAAAAATAAATATAAGGATGATGGACAAGACGAGATGATTTCCTGCCAGGGCTAACGCCTTAATGAACCATGCCCTTAGCGAAACTGCTTACTATCAGGCAATTAACCTTAATGCTGACAAAAGATAAGGTTATAATAAGGATATTTCAGTCCATTCCCATATTTCAATAATTGTAGTTGATGAATGCCCTGATGTATTATTTAAAAATAATTACAAGCGCTAATCCCATTAGACAAGCGAAGTTCAACACAGCAATTAGAATGCAATTAAGGGTAATATATTGTATAGAAAAGACAAATTTATATAAAACAGTGGGATACTTCAAAGCAAAGAATCTGGGACAATCTAATCATAGACTGGTTAAAAACAGTGATAATTATATAGTATTCATTTTCATATAAATCTAAACTAAAATCTAATCTAGAAAAAAGTAGCATTTTCATATGATTAAATCCAATTTCTAATTAAATAATAATGTTATTTTTCATTTCTTTGAATATAATTCTAGCGTAATATTAATGCAACATCTCTAATGACCTTGAACTGACATTTAGTTTGAATACAGATTGCTCTGATAATTATCCAGTAATAATGCTAATTTAAAAAAAAAAAAAAAAAACGAACCCTTGTGATTAAGTTGAAAATTAGCCATTTTTTTGCCATCCAGCCAATGAACATCAGGCTTTCTTTTCTAGAATACAGAGTGATTTTGACAAGAGGGGTCTGACCTGTCCATGGAGAGCTGGGCGACGAGGGTGACGTCAGAGCCGTCCTCGGTGGGGCTGTAGTCGTACTGCAGGAAGTACAGATGCATTCTGTGCACCGTGATCCGCTCCCGCCGGAAATCGTAGCACTGGTCGTCCTCGTCCAGCTCCTCCAGCGCGGCCTGTAACTGGGTTCACAGGTGGCCATCCATTTTCATTTCATATCTAAATCAGCCTTTTGAAATCCAATTTTGGTATAAATTTGAATTGCTGTCATACCTCCCCATCAATCAATTTAAATGAAAATAAAAGGTCCGAAATGTCTTGTATGTCATATCAAGGTTCAAGTACAAGGAAGGCAATAGGACATATAGTTTTACCTTCAAAATATTCAGCCATTTAAGCAGGTGAAATTTCATAACTAAGATATGCAAATCACTTTGCATATAGGACCCGCTACACAAATGTACAAAGTGATATAATATTTTCACTTAGCTGAAGAGCAAAAGGCGGCAGGCATTTAATCAGCTTCCCGAGCTGTCAGGTACCCAGCGCGGTTGGAAGTCACACCCTGCAGGTCCATGCGGATGATTGACGACGGAGAGGCGGTGTGGTGGGGGGGGGCGCTCACCGGGACGCTCTCGGGGCTGGGCTGGCTGGGGCAGCCGAAGAGCTCCCTGCGCAGCAGGTTTCCGTCGTACTCCAGGAAGGTCAGGTACAGGTTCCGGAAGAACTCCACGTGCTTGTTCTTCACACGCAGCTTCTTGGGCGAGTTCCAGTGGATCACCTGACACCCAGAGGGGAGTCATATAAAGTTCTAGAACTAGACATTAATGGTCCTTTATCCATCCTCATCAAAAAAACCCTTATACTGGTCACGGAGGCTTGGAACCTTATCCCAGACTGCACTGATGGCAGGGGGGCACCGTGGATGGGATGCCAGTACACTGCACACATATACTCACACACTACACTATGTGTACTAATGCCAGTTAGACTAACTGAATGTCTTTGGATTGTATGTGGTAACACATACAACAGGAGGATAGCATGTAAACTTCACACACATAGAGGGAGACAAGATTCAAACCCATAAACATGGAGGCGGGGCAGGGTGGCCAACGTTGGTCAGCTGGATGAAGTCTGCATGCACATGCATTTGCAGTTTCATTGCATTGTCAATAGTCTGTAGGGTTTGCAAACTACCCAAACGCTTTTCATATAGCTAATTTCAGGTTTATATTGGAATAATGTAGATTTGCTGTAAGATTTCTTGCACGAGCGTGAGAGTCTGAAAGCATGAGTGTCACACCAGATATGTGAGAGTTGGCAACCATGATGAGGATGTGACAGTTTTACCCCTGGAGCCTATAGTACAGTTCTTCAAAACTGGCCCCCAATTCCTTTTTTTTTTTTTTATTTTTTTTTTTTTATT